GGCTGTGCCCCTCCCTGAACTGAACCCTCATGCTGATTTATATAGCTGCTATTCTAAACCATCATAGCTTTAAAACTGGACCACATTCACCCTCCTATGGAATTAGCTACCTTTTGAATTGGAATTACTGGAGATTTTGAGTCGGGCCATGTCTTAAATCACTTTCAGGATGACTTGCCAAATAAATCTGCTTTGTATTTCTCACTCGTGGTATCTGTCTCCAAGCAGCACACATGGTTCTTACAGCTCTGAGCTGAATCATTCTCTAGACAAGCAAACGAAAAGGAGAAGGACCAGGTGTATCCACCTCTGTTCCACAGGAAGGAAATGCAAACTAAAGCAGTGGTTTATTTAACTGCTGGAGACAGAACAGCAGGAAGCTGAACTTACTAATGATCACCTCACCCTCCTAGGTCTTGGATTTTTAAATGAGAGTGGGTATCTTTTCTGGTTTCCCCACCTCCCCCACCTACAGTCCCCTTGGCACACTCGATGTTCACAGGCAAACTAGAGCTTGTAGAGCAAGGGCAGTGTAGGCTCTGGGTATCCTGTGCCTTGCTGGGAGGGGCCTGGCCAGAAGCAAGCCAGACAGGAGCCTTGTAAACTGAGGGACTGAAAGCAGTGGACCTCATCTTACCAAGGCTCGAGGAAGTCAAATAAGCCCTCAAGTCTCGGGACACACAAGGTTCAGCCTCCTGGAGCACAGAGTTTACAAGAAGACCCAGAGGGTGATCTTCAGTGTTAATAAGGGGAGATGTGTTCAAGATAAACATAGACTTGCTTCTGGCACCCTTGGCCTCTGCTTCAGACTCCTACAGAGAGGGGTTAGCCCTCCTCTTCCACTGGGATGATTTGATGGAAATTTTAAGTGCTGGTAGGAATATGATGTGGATTTATATGAAACAGCCCCTAGACCTTAGTCTTAAATTTGTTTCTTTCTCTTCTTTTACCCCCCCCACGATAGAACTATATTTTCTAGAATTATCTATACAAAGGTTTGTTGAAAAACAGGTAGTGTTTACAATCACACCCATCACTCATCTCCTAATATTTCTTTCTTGATCAATGATTGCTCTTTTTGCCCTCAAGAACATTCATGAAAAAACAAATGTGCCATTGAGAATAATTATTTGGAGTTTATAAATTATTTTCACGTGAAGGGTTATGAAAATTTAATGAATATCTCATCAGGCAAAAATTACATAGGTCTTGATAAGAGCAATATAACCAACTATTAATCCCAGATTCTCATTTCCACAATTTTAGCAACTCATTAAGAGATTCTGCTTTTTGACCACACATCTCACCCACACCATAAGGGACTGAAGAATCATTTGTAAAGGAAATGCAAAAACACGTGCACTCCCTCTTTACAAAGGCCCAAGCAGTTCTCACATGCCAGTCAGAGAAAACTCACTCTGTACCCTCACATCAGCCAAGAATAACATCATCCTGTCTGCAGGTTGGTCTCCAAAGTTGTAAAGCACTGAACACATCCCACTTCCTAACAGGAATATTTTTTTCCTGATCATTTCCTATGCTGATGTTGAAAGGTAATTCCCAATCTTGGGAATACTGAAACCATGTGGGAAAGTTGTTTTTGACCATGAATAACAGACTATTGTAGTTTTTGTGGGGGGTGTCTTCGTTCAAGGGTTTATTGTAGTTTAATTTGATAAGCCACTCTTCTGAAGTCTGACTCCCTGGCAGGCAAACAATTTCGTTTCTTTTTTTTTTAAAGATTTATTTATTTACTTAAAAGGCAGAATCACAGAGAGGCAGAGAGAGAGAGAGAGACTTCCATTCACTGGTTCACTCCCCAGATGGCCACAATGACCAGAGCTGCACCAACCAGAAGACAGGAGCCAGGAGTTCCCTCCAGGTCTTCCACTGGGGGCAGGGGCCCAAGGACTTAGTTATCTTCCACTGCTTTCCCAGGCCATAGCAAAGAGCTGGATCAGAAGTGGAGCAGCCGGGACTCGAACCAGCACCCATATGGGATGCTGGCACTGCAGGTGGTGGCTTTACCTGCTACGCCACAGCACTGGCCCCAACAATTTCATTTCTAATTGCTCCTTTCTCTAACCCTTCCTTTCTCAGAGGTACGTGTGACATTGACAAACAACTGGCTACTTTTTACTTTTAAAAAATTTTAAAATTATTTTTATCTTCATTTTATTTAAAAGACAGAGAGACAGACAGATAAGAGTGATATCTTCCATCTGCTGGGCTGGGCCAGGCTGAAGGTAGGTGCCAGAAAAACAATGGGTTTCCTACATGGGTAGCAGGAACTCAAGTACTTGAGCCACCACCTGTTGCCTCCCAGGGTGCACATGAGCAGGAAGGTGGAATCCAGAAATGGCACTGGTGACAGAACCCAGGCACTCCAATATGTTTTTTTAAATATTTATTTTGAAAGTCAGAGTTACAGAGAGAGGGGGAGAGACAGAGATCTTTCATCCATTGGTTCATTCCCGAGATGGCCTCAACGGTCAGAGCTAGGCAAGCCAAAGCCAGGAGCTTCATCTGGGTCTCCCATGTGAGTGGTAGGGGCCCAAACACTTGGACCATCTTTTGTTGCTCTTCCTCAGATCATTAGCAGGAAACTGGATTGGAAGTAGAAAAGCCAGGACAGGAATTGGCACCCATATCGATGCCAGCATCTCCGGTGCTGACTTTACCTGCTATGCCACAACGCCTGCCCCTCCAATACAGCTTCAAAGTTCATTTCTATTCCCATATTTCTAACAAAATGGAAGAATGAGCATCGGGAGGAGCTTTCCGAGACAGAACTTGATGCGCACCCTCACCAAGTGGGGAATCTTCCCTCTCTGCAGTCCTGACAGATCAGCCAGCACCAGGGTGATCACGGGTTCTAACTCTCTGCTTTTGGAAAAAACTCACTTCCTGTGTCTCAGCCATCTGAGGATTGGCCTCAAAACCTGGCCAAGGCTGTTCTCCGCCAGGTGGTGTGCTCTCTGTTCCTCACGCGGCATGAAGTCTAGGCTCTCCTTATCCAGATCACCTTCCTCTGGATCCCTGAAGATGGTCCCTGTCCCCTATGAAGGTGCTACCCAGCACATACCACGGAGTGGACCCTGCTTGGGTTCCTCTGATCCAAACACCTCAAGGAGGGGGTAGATGGTGGTGATGAAGGGCACAGGTTCTAATCCTAATTCTATGAATTGTGACCTTGACAAGTCATTATATCCTCTGTGCCCCTAGTTTATTCATCTTTTAAATAGGCATGGTGATAATTATATTCCCTACTTTATGGGCTTGCTACAGGGATTGAGTTAAAATTGTGAAACCCTTGGGGGTTGGCGCTGTGGTGCCGGCATCCCATATGCAAACCAGTTCTAGCCCCAGCTGCTTCTCTTAGGATCCAGCTCTCTGCTAGGGCCTGAGAAAGCAGTGGAAGATGGCCCAAGTCCTTGGGCCCCTGCACCTGCGTGGGAGACCTAGAGGAAGCTCCTGGCTTCAGATCAGCTCAGCTCCAACCGTTGTGGCCATTTGGGGACTGAACCAGCAGATGGAACACCTTTCTCTCTTTCTCTCCCTCTCTGGAACTCTACCTCTCAGATAAATAAAATCTTTAAAAAAATTTTTTTAAAAATTGTGAAACACTCAAAGGTGCTGGGTACCTACCATGGTCCATACAGATGTCTTTGAGAAAAGGCACATCTTTGTCACAGAACCTGAGCTTGCTCTGAAGCAGCTACTTCCCGCGATTGTTCATTCATAGCTGGTGGTCTATAGAAAGTCCAGGTTTGTTTTCTTCGCATGAACTCCTGCTCAGCAGCACTGCTCCATCCTTCACTTCTGAAATTTCCTCTTTGAACATAACTGCAGAACTAGACCTTTAACCCTACCATAAGCCCAACATTCTCATGTCGTTATCTCTTGTCCAGATGTGAAGGGTTCTCACAGACTACTGTCCCAGATGTGCAGTTGCCACAACTCTAATCAATGTCCCTTCTATGCCTTTCTCCTTGTGAGTGATACCAAGAAGGGTAGGGACAGAGCTCCTTTGTATGCTACCCTTACCCTCCCCATATTCTTAGGTATGGGAGCAACTTCCAAAAATGCAAAGGCCAGACACACTGTAGATTGTCTACTGATGGGAGGTCCGAGACTCTGACTTATCTATAGGTCCCTGACGGTGGGAACCTCTGCTTGAAAATGGAATAACAGAGAGTTACCTTGCTGTGAAAACTAAAGGAGACTGGGGCCAGAGTTGTGGTGCAGTGGATAAAGCCACCGTATCCCATAGGGGTGCTGGTTTATGTCCCAGCTGCTGCACTTCCGATCCAACTCCTTGCTAATGACCTGGGAAAGCAGTGTAAGATGGCCCAAGTCCTTGAGCCCCTGCTACCCACATGGGAGACTGGATGAAGCTCTTGGTTTTGGCTTGACTCAGGCCTGGCCATTGTGGCCACTTGAGGAGTGACAAGCAGATGGTATCTGTTTCTCCCTCTAACTCTTTCAAATAAATAAATCTTTAAAAAAAAAAAAAAGAAACAAAAACAAAAAAAACTAAAAGAGACTATGCATTAGGAAGCACCAAGCCAACTTACTGTCACACTAAAGACGTTAAAAAGTAAAGAAAAAAAAGTAAAGAATTCATAAAGAAATTCTGATTGGCAAAAATATCTCAGCATCTGTTGGCCAAAAGAATGGGGAGAAGGAAGGCTACACTTTCCAGGTGTTGATGATGTGATTTGCAAGATTAACGACCACCACCAGAGCAGAGTGCTGTTAGTCTGGAAGGCGGAGGGCAGCAGCTAAGGGTAAGGGTAGGTGGCATGCCCCGCCCTGTGCAGGTGGGACAAGATAAACAGCTCGGAATCTCACTCCCTCTCTCCTCCTCCCTTCACAAAACATTTACCCTTGCTCCTGCAATGCACTCTGATGTTTTCCTTTCTACTGAATTTCAATTTTTAAAAAATGCTGGTTGCAACTCTACACTGATATCATTACCCGAATGACCCATAACTCACATGTGAAAAACAATGGAAATGGTGTGCCTCAAGCCATAGCCCAGTGGGTCCCTGGAAAAGGGGAGAAGGTAAATTTGGCAAAACCTTCTTACCAATGCTTTCCTCATTAGTCTTCAACTATCTTTTTTTTATAATTATTAATGAATTTGTTCTGGAAAGTTGCCAGGATTCAACAGTTCCCTCCTTTGAAAAATCTCCTGCCCCTGGTCTCCTCTCTCAAGAGGAGCCCCTGCCCTGGGATGCCTGTCAACTGGGTTTGGAACAATCCAGTCCAGTGCTGGGCTTCAAGAGCCTCTTAAAGGGGTGAAGGCTGGTCTTCTGGATCTGAAAAGACAGCGGCTGGGAGCTTTTATTTCATCTCAGCTTCCAGAAGCTCTGGGTGACCTTCCTCAGGGAAACAAAACCTCCCGTTGTGGGCACCCCAGCTCAGAGCAGTCCCTGGCCGTCCCAGCCTTGTCTTTGCCCGCTTGGCTCATCCTCCTGCACCTGCCCTTGTTGATGTGCCCGTGTGACCTAAAGGACACTGGATTTGGGGCCCTTGTTTGCAGACCTCTGCTCCCCGCTGTCAACTGCGCCAGTCCGTTGGGACATGTTTAATCAATATTGCTTCACCTGCAAGCTGGAGAGGATGCTAGTTACTTTTAAGGTTTGGGTAGGAATTAGCTTGTCTGTGGGCGTGCCCTCTCTTCCCCGGGGGGAGGGGGGCACGTGGATACTTTCCTTCAAGCTTCCTTTGTTTTCGAAACACCTTGGTGGTGGTTCCTTGACATCGGATTCAGTCCAGAGCAATGTCTGGGATTCCACGTGGAAACCACAAAGCCTCAGGGCGGGTTTCTAATGAGGCTGCTCCTTGCCCGCTTCAATTAATACACAGAAAGACTGGAAAAGGAGTGGGAATGTGGCCGCAATTTCCCTCTCATCAGTACGAGCACCTGTGGGCAGGCTCCCCCGTCCAAACTCAGCGAGCGCACGACGGTCAAGGGCTCAGTCTGAGAGCCCTGCCCACTGCAGTGGGGGCGCGCCCGGGCACAGGGGACAGAGTGCCTACCCAGGAAGGCGCTCTCGGTCGCAGGGCACCGCGATAGCCGCAGGCAGGCCGGAACCAGGAAAGTTTTCTCACCTGCGGGAGAGGGTGGGACCCGGCCCGCCAGGGAGGAAGCCCCGCTAAGCCCCAAAGCTGCCAAGCGTTGAGGACGTCCTCCGGCGGGACACACGCACCTCAGCGGCTGCAGGGACCCGCTTAAACTTGGGTGCTCCCCGCGGAATCCACTCTTCCCGTGGGCCCGCTCAAAACCCACTTCTCTCCCTTCCAGCCCATTCTCCCGCCCCTCGCCCAACTCAAAACCACCCCCAAGCCCAAGCGAGCCGTGCAGCCTCGGCCCGCGCCCGGCGCCCCATTCCGCCCGTGGTTACCGGCTGGCGCGCCCGGCCCGCGGGCTCGGCCCGGGTCACGGCTCCTCCGAGGTGCGTGAGGGCCGCCGTCGCCGTCGCCGCCACCGCCTCTGGCCGCCTAGGGCTGGGCGAGTCACTCCCTGCGCTGCGGCGGAGACGCGCGCTCCCGACCTGCCGCGGAGGCGGCGCTGGGCGCCGGGGCTGGGGCTGGGGCTGGGGCTGGGGCCTGAGCGCGGGCAGACGCGTCCCCGCCCGAGCAGGTGAGTTTTGCAGAATGCCCTCCTGCTTACGCGGCCCCTCGGAGTTTGGACGGGACCCGAGGAAAGGAAATAGGAGCCTTGGGGAATCGCTTGCCCGCCCCAGCTTTGCAGGGGGTCCCTCAGGCCAACTTTGGGTAATAGCGAGAGGGAGTGGAGCAGCGTGAATCTACGTTTACGAACAATCCTAAATCCTGGGTTCAAGTGCAGTAACACCAGGGCCCTCCATAATGTGCTGCTTAAATTACTACCTCAATCGATTTAAGTCCCTCTTCCTTGTGCCCCCAGGTCTATGTGCAGAGAGGAGTCACGTGGCTCCCAAACAGGCCCTCAGAAGAGGGTAGGACTGGGCCGGGAGTAGTTTTTGGCATTCTGGCTCCAGCAAGCGTTTTGTTGAGCCCGTACCCACTGCCAGACACGGATGTGGGGCTTTGGAGAGACACAGCCTAGTAGAGCTTATATTGAAATAAAGAGAAGACAACAAACATAACAAGTAAATTCAGTATGTAGTGATAACGTGCTGTCAATCAAAAAAGAAAAGAAAAAGGCAGGAAGTGGGCTAATAAATGGGAAGTGGGTGTAGTTTTCAAAAAGAAGTGAAGGAGATGAGAAGGCAGATCATGCTGGTACGTGCTGCCAGGCACAGAGCTGGCCCTTACTGTCGGGCCATTTTACTATTCACGGGTGCCGCATCAAGTAGGAATGATGACCATTTCCATTCTATGCAGCAGGAAACCGTGGCTTAGGCAGGTGCAAGGAATTAAGATCACATGAAGAAATGGAGGAGCTAACCTTCAACCCGGGAAAGGCTGGTGCCCCAGATCCAGTCTCATTGGAACTGAATGCAGCTGGGGGGTTAATGTAGCAACAGCAGCCAAGTAGGCAGGCTGCTGGTGCGTGGCCACTTCAATCTGCTGGGGCCACAAAGGATTCCTGGAAATGACATCTGATCCGGGTTTCTTCCTAAGCAGTCTGACTATCACATGTAAAGTAAAATATTTTGAAAACCCTTTCTGTGGCATATGTATGTGTTCTGCCTCATCCACGGGCAGTTCACTTCTAAATGACGTAATTTGGCCGCCTGTGATTAGGTCTGTCAGTCGTTCCCCTGTTCAGTCTCTCTCTGATTGATTCCGGTTGCCATCCATCCCCAGGCAGGAGAGCCCACACCACATGTCACCAGGGAGTAGTAGAACATTCTGATCACAGAGCTACAGAACTGCTGCTGTTGAGAGGTGGCAGTGTAATCAGGCCAGCCTCTCCTTACCTGTCAGCATCAGATGGCTGTGTTCTGGTAGCGGTGCCAAACCCGAGGTGCTCTGTGCTGTGTGGAAAAAGCCAGGCTACTAGCTATAAGTTCCAGAAACCCAAACTGCAGCTCTCAGGAGAACAGCCTCACTAGCAGTACGACAGAGCTCACATTTCTCTGCCTTCCCATGCCTCCTGTCAGTCCCTTGTTCCTTTCCCCAGTACCAGAGCACCTTTCTGACTTTCCTTCAAGGTACATCTCAAATGCCACTTCTTCCAGGAAGCCTTTCTCACTGTCCAGCTGCAAATGAACTCTTACTATAAAATGAGACATCTCTCTTAGCGCACCTGTTCTTTTCTACTTTATTTCAGATGATAGCATAATACATCTTAACACCCCTGATAGATCCCAGGTGAGTCTTGCACCCAGTGGGCATTTAATGGATACATTTTGCTGTTGCTGTTATTAATAAAGATCTGCAAAACACAACTTCACTGCCTTTTGTCTTTTCATTTCAAAACACTGCCCAATGCTCAGAAATTTAATGATAGGATGGAGTTATATTTAGCTATTGCTGCTGTTTATCAATCTAAATTAACCGTGATTTGCCTTGAGATGTACTCTATTTGTCCCATTTTGAGATTGCAAAACTGAGGCTGCTGAGTAATTTCCCTAAAGTCACAATCCTAGTCATTGTGAGCAGGGATTTAATGCCGCCACTGCTTTGACTGGGAAAGACATGCTTTTCATCACAAGCTCATGCATTCAATCATGCATGCATTTGATTCTTCAGCGAAGATTTACATTTACTGTGGTCAGCCTGCACTAGGCTCCAGGCAACAGCAATAATTAAAACACAGTTCTTGCCCTCAAAATCGCTCCCAATCTCATGGAAGGGATACAGGGAAGGAAATAATCGAAACTGTGTTAGGAACCTTATCAAAGAGATTCATGGAGACCCTAAAGGAGCTCTTTGTTTTACCTTAGGCGATGGGAAGTAGGAGGTGACAAGAAGGATTCCCCAAGAAGATGGAATGTCATTTTCTTTTCAAAGGATTGATAGTAGTTTGTTGCCATGATAATGAAGGAAAGCATATGGCAGAGAGGTGAGCACAAAGCTTTGTTCAGAGGGTGGCGGTGACATTCAGAACACTAGTGAGGAGACAGTGAGAGAAGGCAGGGCCAAGTCATAGGTAGCTACAGGGTCCTGCATGGACTCCATCACCCCTTGGAGATGTATGAAAAATCAGTGTCTGTGCAAGCCAATTTCCAGGCCAGGGTTCTCTTGCTTTTAGGCAAAATGTCAAAGGGGCTGACTGACCCTATATCTGGAGATGGGGAGGTCAGTTTCCCTTCACTGCTGGCTGACCCATGGACCACAGATAAACCCCAAGGAATTCCAACTCCAGTCAGGAGATGCTGGGGACCTGGACTGGGGGTGAGTCTGAGGCTTGCCTCAGTCAAATTGCCTCCAAATACGCGGTGGTGCTGTCAGCCCCGACAAGTTAGACCCCAGCCCTCTCAGCAGCTGCATTCATGTTCCCCCAAAGGGCAAAAGAGGGGGGTTGCTGGGCAGTTGGTAAGCCATGAAGCTGGCAGCTGAAAACATGTTCCAGGGGAGCTGCAGAGAGCAGGACCACAGTGGGCCCAGACCCCAAGCCTTGCTCCATTGCCCCATCGGACCTCACTCACTGCTCTGGGCTAAATTGTGTCCTCCAGAAAATTCACAGATTCAAACTCCTAGGACCTCAGCATGTGACTATATTTGGAGATGGGGGCTTCTTAAAGGGAGGGTTATGGGGAAGCTATCAGGGTAGTCCCTAATCCCGGCTGATTGGTGTTCCTATAAGAGGAGACACAGGGGGGTGTGTGCATACAGAAGGATGACCATGTGAAGAGGCACAGGAGAGTGGCCTTCTGCAGCCCAAGGCCTGCAACAGAGACCCTTCCCTTACAGCCCTCAGAGAAAACCAACCCTGCCAGTACTTTGATCATAGGCTTCGATCTCTAGGAGTGAAAGAACACAAATTTCTATTTTTTAAACCATCTCCTCTGTGGTATTTTGTTATGGCAGCCTGAGAAGACCAACAGACCTATGGAACAATGATTCAAAATTCAAAGAAAAGGGTTCTAAGAATTTCAAGATGGTGACCAGAGTATCAGATCCCAAGGTGTGGTGGAATGAGAAGGTCATGCCAAGATGGCTGCTGGCAACAGAAACTGCCTGGCAACAGGCCGTGATTGGATGGCTTCGGAAACCACACAACAACAGAGCCTGACTGACAACAGGCTCTGATTGGACGGCTTTGGAAACCACATGACAATGGAGCCTGCCTGGCAACAGGCTGTGATTGGATGGCTTCGGAAACTGCCTGGCAACTGGGTGTGATTGGTTAGGGCATAGACTTCCCCTTGACCGGATTGGCTGCCTTGGCTATATAAGCTGCTGTAGCAACTGAAATAAACGAGTCTGTGGGCTGCTTGCCTCTGGCCTGCTTTCACCCGGTTCCCGGGGTCTGTGTGGTGACTCCGCACCTCTTGCCCCCACCATGCTGCTCCTCTCAGAAGGAATCCACAGCAACACCAAGGGACAGGCCCCGGTGAGCTCAGAGTCCTGTGCCACTGCACTGGTCCCACACCCATGAAGCCGGGCCTTGGGAAACCAGGAGTGGAGTTCTGAAGACCACTGGGCTGCATCAGTGCAGAGGTGTGGGTTGAGCTGGGGGAACAGGTGAAACCACTCTCTGAGAACATGAAATGAGAAGAAGGCTGCTGTTGGAGCAACCAGAGAAACAGTTGAGCAACAGCAGGTGGAATCCAATGGAGAAGCAGGAAATACCGTCTAAAGGCCAAGCTGAGTGATGAAGAACCAAAGCCTGTGCACTCTGTACAGAGTCACAAGGTGGGGCCTGAGGCCAGATTGCTGCTGATAATGGAGTAGATTACTCCTACAGGCTCCTCTTCTAAGGAGGCTGGGGGAGAAAGGAGGAGAATGGAGTCACAGGCCTATGGAAGGCCAGCAGGCCAGGAGGGCCAAAATCCAGCCCACACTCTATTGACCCAAGCCACTGGAAGGGCCATTGGGAGGTCTTCCAACAAGTGCACCAAATGACCTAGCCCTAGGTACAGAACTGTCACTACAGCACCTCTTGCTTGTATATTTATCATTGGATCTTTTCATTAATTTCATGAGAGCCGCAACTGTTCTGCTTCCATCCAGCACCAGGAACAGTCCCAGGCATGTAGTAGGCCCAGCAAACACATCCTGAATAAATCTATGGGATGCAGAGTCAAGAGGAAAGACGTGCTCATTTTGTATTTATTCATTTGTTTCATATGAGAGACTTAAACGAGTCTGTAGATGAGAGAACAAGGACCCACGAGGAGAGATTTGAAGATAGAGTCAAGAGAGAAAATAATTGATGAAATAATAGAGAAAATAGTAAGAAAACAAGTCAAGAGAGCTTCTGAAGGGAAAAAAAAATCTGATTCATCCTTTGGGAAAATCATTCGTTCATTCAGTGGTGAGTATCTTCCATTGTCCTAGACCCTTCTTGGCATGGGGGATGCTTTTAGGAAAGTGAGGGGATACCAAATGAAACAGGGTAATTCCTTTCCATTTGTTCAGGATGATACCATGTAGTTAAGCAGTTTTTGATGGAAAAGAATATACAGAAATGAAATGTAACAAGGATGTTTCCAAGCACCTGAGTAACAAAGACTTGG